ATTATTTACCTTAAACCTTCATATTTGTAAACGAATATATTACAAAATAACCAATAAAGCTTAAGTAACTGCATAAAATCTAAAATTGGCAAAATATCGAATTTTAAGTTATAATTTCCGCTAGTATACTCCAATGCCAAAAATTTTTCCTTTTCTTGAATTTTAGTGTATTACCATAGCGAACTGCTGGACAAACAGATATAAGGCTATCAATTAATTTTGCAATTTTAGATTCCTCAACTTTTAATGACTTAATCGATTTTAAATTTCTTTTAATTGTATCTCTTAGCAAAAACATAGGTAGTTAATTTGCTAGAGTTAAAAAATAGAATCTTATACCTCCTCTGTCTGGTATCAAACATGATTTATGATAATTGATCCAAAAAACCTAAAGCCTCTAACCAACAAAATGGAATCTTGCAAACATTCTGAGTGATTTTTACGAAAGAGAAAAAATCAACTAAATAATTCACTGAAATATAATATAAAAAATATAATATCCAAGGTAATGGGTCCTATGATTGAACGTTTACGTTATCCGTAACGTACATGTTAGGCCGAGTTTTAACAGCAAAGAGACAAATTCGTATGATGTAAAGTCTTTCATAACACATTACTGTTATTTTCCGTCTGTTATGTTCTAATTTAACAGGTTTCCATCATACGAACTTGCCTCGTTACTTTTAAAATTCGGCCTAACATGTACGTTACGGATAACGTAAACGTTCAATCATAGGACCCATTATGTAAGCGGTTTTAATATCTTTGTAAAAACAAATGTTGCTGCACATAACCCAAACGGTAAACTATTTAATTCAAATAATTTTCTTGAAATATGAATCGCAAATATTTTCTATGAGGTTTACAAACTGGTATTAGTAAATAAGCGTTTTTAATTCCAAAGTAGCCATATGGCTGAATTTGTTCTTCTTCAGATACTCATTTTTCAAATTCAAAGGAATGGGCGCATGAAGTTTTAATTATGGTGCCTGTGTAAGTTGTCTTTCATTTTTTGTTGCTTTTAGTTCTGACCCTTATTTTTTAATAGCTTGTGCTACATTACAGATTTAAGGGACTTTCTACGAATAACATCTTATCGACTTTGAACTCCCTTGCAATCCTATGCATTTCTGTTTTTAAATTGGGATATATAGTGTGTCTTTTATGCTACACAGATGAAAATGAGCTATTTATTTTAATCGTAATTACTTCCTTTCTCCAGATGGTATCCCCTCTTTAACATAAATCGCTTAACGTTTTACTAGATCCTCGCTTAAGGGGATTAACAACAATACCATTTTATTTCAGAAATAAAAAAGTATGAACAACAGGTATAGAAAAGTCAACCTGTAATCATCTATAAGTTGCCTTTATGAATATTTTCTGTTATCACATGCGTACAAATAAGATACATTAACAGATGCATTATTCAAATAATAGGCTAGAATGTATATGACGAACTAACTCAGTAAATAAACAGATATTCATTGTTGAAATATATAACATGACAATGAAGGTCAAACTGTATTTAATGAACTAACACAGTAAGTAAACAGATAGGCATTATTCAAATTTATAACAGGACAATGAAGGTCAGACTGTATATAATGAACTAAACCAGTAAATTAACAGATATGCATTGTTCAAATATATAACAGGACCATGAAGGTCAGACTGTATATAATGAACTAAACCGGTAAATAAACAGATATGAATTGTTCAAATATATAACAGGACAATGAAGGTCAGACTGTATATAATGAACTAACCCAGTAAATAAATGTGATGTGAAACAGATATGCATTGTTTAATGTTTATATTTCTGTCCCACGTGACGTCACCGTCAGTCAGCTGCATGCGCAGGAACATACCGTTAGTCTGTGTATCGTGTTACTAAAAATTATTGACATAAAAATTATATTCTCCATAAAATATATTTATTCAAAATACACATTATATAACTAAACTGTGGGCCATATTTCCTACAACATATGCATATATACTATTTGTTTACTCGCCAACATCAAAGTCAGATATGGTTTAAAATGACGACGTTGTTCACATTACTGATGACATACCCAGAGATTAGGTACATAAAGATAGGAAACGCAACGACCACAGTAACGATGGCGTCATCTATGCATCTCAGATGTTAACTAAAGGTAAGGTCGTTTGTAGACAGACACACATACTTTGATGTAATCAAAGTATGTGAGACAGACCACATACTTTGAGACAGACAGTCACATACTTTGATTACAAAGTATGTGCAGACAGAAGACGTGGACAGTTTGTAAATATAAATGTCAATTAGTTTTATGTATATCGTAGAATCCTGAATTTGAATTTTAAATTTTGAGTTCGTGATTGTGTTATGCTCTAGATCAGCGTTACTCAAAGCGTGGTTCACGGAGCCCTGGGGCTCCGCAAAGCCTTTGAGGGGGCTCTGCGAAGAAAATAATAGTCATAACAAAAAAAGCAGTACCATTGCTACAACGGGACTTGGCTTGAGGACTTTTTTTTAGAAGTTAGTAAGAGGAAGGAGTGTATGATTTTGGTTGTAGGACTTTTTTTTTAGAAGCTACTAAGAGGAAGGAGGATATGGTTTTGAGGATTTTTTGTGGGGGCTCCGTGAAGAAAAGGGAGAGACCTGGCTAAAGGCTAGACTAAGGAGGATTTTGCTTGGAGCCTCTTTTTTTTTTAGAAATGTGTTTAGGGCTCCGCCAAACATTTCGCTTTTCAAAAAGGTTCCGTCACCAAAAAAGTTTGAGAACCACTGCTCTAGATGAACTAAGCGAAATAGTTGTGGCTGCTTTTGTGTGAAATTTGAGGACAATAAATATACTATGTAATATTACAATAAGTCGGAGAACGTATTGCATTAGTAACACATGCCACATGAATAAATGTAACAACCCCAATGTGGCGTTTTTTAATTAACCAAAGTAAAATCTAGTAACACAAATAGTAGCCAATTTTTGTCGCAAAGTAGGTATTAATTTTTAATTTATTGTTTTGAACAAAAAAAATGGCTTCAAAACGTTAGAAAAAAGATTTGATATGTAAAGAAAAATATCTGAATTTCCATTATTGAGTTTGCACTCAACATTTTTATATAAGACACCATTGGCCATTCGTTCGGAAAATAAGAACAAAAATGTTAATGTTACAAATAACGATCAAAAATTAAAAAATAATTGTAATGAATAAATTTCTATCAATAAAGTGAAGTCCCTAGTTGAAATAAAAAAGTCCACCTTATTACGGCCATAATATGGTCACCTATAAAAAATTAATTTCGCCAAAATGTTTCCCCCAAAAAAACTATAAAACTTTTGTCTGAAATTTTTTTTTAATAAAATGCATATTTTCGGCGGTATTTAACTGTAACACTTTAATTTGAACACCCGGTAGATAAATAGATTCAAAATCGGAGTTGGACAATTGTCCTTCTCCACCCCGACCTTTTCAAATCTATTGTGGAACTCCATTGTTCAGAGTGTGTTGTCTGGCCTGGTCTTTTTTATTAGACTTATTAGCTTATTTGACAGTGACTCCAGTATGTAACCACATGATTCTGGTTTTTCTTTGCCTAGTATTAGAAACCTTAATCTAGCCAGGTATTCACACTGGCACAAGACGAGGACTGATGTTTCCTCTTCTGTGGATTCTTCTGCTGGATTGATGACACACATGTTTCTTCAATAACGACAGTGTGCGGTAAGAATTTTTTCAGTTATCCTTACGATCTGTCGTTTTTGATCCAGTAGATCCTTCGTAAACTTGACCTACGACTCCTTAAATAACTCTTTGGCCTGACTTAATCTTGGGTAGTTGTTCCACCATTACAGAGACTCTCTTTGCATCCATTGTTTGATAGAAGCCTTGTACAATGCATTAGTAATCCCACAGAAGCGTTCGGGGCCTGTCATAATCCTCTCGGGCTAATTCGTCGGCGTTTTCATTATACTGATCCCCTTAGTGGCCTGGCTAAGGTCACTTTGTGTTGACTGTTTAGCTGTCAGGTCTTCTGTTTTAGTAGTAGATGTTTTAGTCCTGTAAGTACCCATGTTTTGTGAAGTATATAACTGTTGTTTTATTGCGTTAATGGCAAATTGCTCCTTTTTGTACTAGTTATTGTTTACTATTTTTAGAACTGCTTGAGGGCGATCCGAGACTGTGGCTGAAAATCGCCCCCTGACAATAATTGCTAGGTGGTCCGCATATCGTAGGCATTGGTAGCGTTCTTTAGGCAGTGTTTTAAATATATCGTCCACTAGAACTGACCACAGGATTGGAGATAGTATTCCTCCTTGTAACTTTTGCCTGTATGGATGCCTTTCCTAGGTGGATATAACCTATTCTCAAGTCTGGCAGTGATGCATTGGCATATTGTGACTGGAGCCTGTTTTTGTTTTAGAGTTTCCCTTATGGACCTGATTGAGGCATTTTGAAAGCTCCTTCGATATCTATTATCTTTGAAAGCATCCACTTTAGATCGTCTATCGCTAAGTCAATTGACTTTCCTGGCTGATGCATATTGGACAGAATGAAAAAGGTTTATTTCTAATATATCGTCCCTGATATACCTACCTATCAATCTTTCTAGTAAGGAGAATCCGCTTATAGGGCGATATGACTTTGGCGTTTGGTCCTACCTACTTTGGTAAGGTAGACTACTTTCGCCATATTGCTGAGATGAGTCTATAATAAACAATACCAATTTAAAAACTGTTGATTAAAAGTTTAGGATTAATAGTCTTTTTTGTTAAAGGGCTAATTCTTTCGAAAAATAAAGTATTGCTGAATATTCTTTGGCTATTGATAAATTATCAAAATTAACAATACCGTGACAGTCAAAAAGAATTTGCCAGATAATTAAAAAAGATACGTAGTTATTGTTACTTGAAATAAGTACCTAGGTAAAACAAATTTAAAAATTGTAACTCTGGAAAAAACAAAATGAGTTAGTACTTCTACTAGTTTTCTTTTGTTTTTAGGATTATTTTTGTGAAATTTTAGAAGCAATTCAAATAGATCACATCAAAATTATTGGAGTGTCAGTTTGGAGTTTAATGGATAATTTTGAATGGTCATCTGGCTATACGTGAGTATTTAATGATTCTTTCTGATTATTCAATTGTTTTATTATACAAAAAAGTAATGTTTAGTGAGGTGAGTTAAAAAATTTAAATGTTATATATACTCGTATATACTCATCCCACTAAACATTACCAATCTTCTTCGTTATATTTTTTATAAAGACGTTTCTTGATATATTTTTAAAAAGGTACATAAATATCTCATATATGTTTAAATTTTAACATCATATTTAATAATAAGTGCGTTTTAATCATCCGCTTCTACTTCGGAATTGTCGGTTTTCTTGTTTTAATCTGACAGGTTATAATGACTAAACCCACAATCCCGGAAGCAGAAGCGGATGATTAAAACGCACCTAATATCCTTCACATATATCTATAATTGAAGTTTCATGTACGCTGCAATACTTGCATTAGTAGTTACATCAACATATTTTGTACTTCTTTTTAGTTATGTTATGTTGGGTATGGGGTATTAATGCACTGCAACCTAAAATATCTATTGTGCCCCCTTCTGTCGCTGATGCATCGAGGAAAAAGTATCGATGCCTATAAATACCCTTTCAATACGATCTTCTCAAGTAAATGTAGAGTTTGGTTTGGTTCGAGTTAGGTAGATTAACGTTGCCAGTTATAAGTGGCTACTGACCCGTGACTCGACCTGTTTTTGGCAAGGTTGATATTGTGTCGCTTCTTTTCCTGCATGTGCAAGCGCTATTTACTATTCACTCCAACACAAACAAAGCAGGACGGTTTGATTTAACCAGCACTGTATACAATACAAGAGTCTGTCTAATAATTCTGCATGAAAGTGAATTCTGAACACTTCAACAAGAACACAACTCAACACTAATCACAGCGGAAATTTGACCATATAAAAAACGATGAGATAAGAGAGGGAAACTAAAAAACAAGAACTAATAATACAATGAATCGAGAAAACAGGCAGAAACATATAAAGATGAAGACCAAGACACACATATGTAAAGAACATTGCAGAGTTACGTCAAGGAAGAGGAAATGCGATGGAAGAAATGACCAGAATTTCGACAGACAAGCAAACATGGAAGTGGATCGAGGCGGAACACCAACAATCTGACGCCTGTGAAGGCATTACGGATTTTCCAGAAAACAAGAAGTATTTAGAAATATTTTTATACATATTGTTTCATAGAAAATAAATTTTTTTATCTTTTTTTAATATCTTCTTCATCTTATTTATTATCTTCTTCACCTTCTTTATCTTCTTTATTATGTTTATCTCCTTTATTATCTTAATCTTCTTTATTATCTTCTTTAACTAGGTGGAAACTTGTTCATCTAGCGCCGCCACTAATTATGCTTTCTGTTTACTTATTTTGTATGTCAGTGATGAATGACGCCATAATCGGTGAAATGGCCAATATCACGTTTATTTTACTTTCAATTTATAAAAAGCATAAGTAGGTAAATACATCATTTGATTCGAATTAAAATCTGTAAATATTTGTAGTGTTCACTTTGGATTCTACAATATAGATTTTTATAACGATCCAACTTTGAAAAGACGACCCAAGAAATCAGTAGGCTTTTTCCAAAAACTAAACAAAAGGAGACAACTCGACTGTTCAAGTTACAACAGAGAATGGCCTGCTCCAAGTTGGGGACCACATGGAAAACCACACTTTAGTTATCAATTTAGACACAATTAATGATATTTTTTAATAAATCTTCCAGATTTTTCATTTCTGAGCTGGTATTTTATTTTTTAACCAACTTAAACTTACTTTTGTATAAAAGATAAAATGTGATATTTACAAATCCGAGTAACCTGGAAATATGTTATACAGTGCTTATCGTAATTTTGATACGAAAGCACTGAAAGAACACATAAATTAAAGCGTCAAAATAATAATTGGTAATATCAGCCGTTTATTTTGAAAGTGGCCTAAGTTCATTTATAATTAAATTAAGATATTCATTATCGATAATGTCCGAAGGCAGTGACGAAGGTAATTTTAATTAATTAGTATTTAACAAGTTAACATCTGTTTTTGGACAATTGCATTAGTTGAATAATTAGTATGTTTAATTAATGCAGTTAAACAAAATTTACACAAACCCTTAGATATCTCAATTTAAGTATAAATGGACTTAGGCCACTTTCAAAATAAACGGCTCATATGTAATAGACAAGATAGCATTGTGGTGCAATTTTATTTTTATGTAAAAGGCAACAGTATACGTGTAATACCTGAAATGAAGGTTGCATTTTGAAAATTTTCAAAAAATTCGAATGAATATAATATTTAGAATACCATTAAACTTTTGAGGTAGTACCTTCCTGTACAACAAATAAAATTATCGTACGATGGTCAAATTCAGTGTATAAAATGTTTCAGATAATTTTTAGTGTTTATTACAAGGAGTTCATAACATGTTTCTAAAGGCATATTGGTTCACTTATTCATTGATTTGGATTACTGATATTACATGTAAATTTTATTTGGTAATTATACAAGCTGATGAACATTTCCACTGTTAAATAATAAACAAATTTATTTAATTATATTTTTTCTGTATCTTATTTTTAATGGTTACAATTCTCTTTTTGCTAAAAGTATATATAACTCTGAGTTAATCAGTTAATTTTGTCCTTTTAGTAAAAGCTAGCATTTATAATTCTCAACTAGCTTTTTAAAAATAAAAAAGAGTTATTGGCGCCCATATTTCCCAAAAGTGTCTATTAGAAAAGCCCGAATTCACAACTGAGAAAACTAGTCTCATATACTCATTTGATTTTCTAATTGGATTAAGACGATAAAGGCAAGTAAATAGTTTGGTACAAACATATCTAAGAGCTATTCAGAATTAAATATAATTAACAAAGGTAATTAAACGTTAATTATTACAAATTAACATTATTGTAGTCTTAATTAATTAACTTTTAAATATTACAAATCGAACGTTAATGTTTCCACCATTTTATCTTTCTGTGATGCAGTTATATCATAATTCATTTCGGCTAGTACTTCTTCTGCAATTTGTAAATATTTTAAATGTGCAGCTCCTAATTCGTTTTTTATATTTTCAGCAGAACTTAATTCAGCAGTCAGTATAAGTATCATACATTCGGCAGGTGTCCTTGTGGAGGACTTTAAACTTTAAGTTAAAATAAAAAATATTTTTATATGTGGCTTATTGGCTGAGCAGTTTTTTTTTGTACAGAGAATACATTTTACGTAAGTTTATGTCGGGATTAAGAAAATTTGCGTCTGTCTGAGAACGGCAATAACAAGAAATATAATTAGCTTTTTTCCTGGGCAGATTTAAAAAAGATCCGCTAGGGGCAGAACCGGTGGGGGGTACATATGTTTTGAATTCTCTATTGACAACAACGTCAAACGTATAGATTTATAATTGAATTAACAGAAGATGATGTACCTGGAGCGAAATTGAAATTTGCAAAAGTGCAAGATCATCTTGTCCGGGAATTAAAACGATGGCTTGCATGTCGTGGCTTAACCGTGTCATGCAATAAAAATGTCCTAGTTATAAGGTTAGTTGGTTTATAAATTTTCTCGTATGTCATTGTAATTTTGAAAATTTTATAATTTTAAATAAACTATGTTTTTTTTATAATATATGTAAGAATTGAAGAATGTATTACAAATGGTAATGATAAATGTCTAACGGATAAACAGCAACGCATGAAATTACTCAATCCAACTCTACCAAGTTCAACATCCTGCACTTTTCCTATTACCAACTGGGCAAATTTTCATACACAATTAAAAAAAGTTTAAGTTTATTATTTACTATCAATAATGATAATATGTAGTAGTGGACTGAAAAGGGGGCAAAAAGGTTTCATTTTTTTTTAAGGTACAACCACATGTGGTCTTTACAAAATAATAGTCTAGGTCCCTGGCCATCTGAAATCGGGAATTACAACATTTTTTAATAGGGACAACATTTTTTATTGCGAAATTTGTCAAAAATCTGTTTCATTACTTTTTCACACATACCTCGCGATATCTCCGGAACTAAACAAGATATTTTCAACTTTTTTTTTTAATCAGCAGTAGAAACGTAAGCGGAGATTACTGCGTTAGTTTCATTAGTATAGAAAACCTAGTTTTTTTGTAAAACTAGACAAAACTTTAATCTTTACTTTTTTGCAGCACTATTTTCAGTAATCGAGCAACTTTTTTATTTTTCAAAATTTTATTGAACTATCTGCGTACCAAATAAAGCTAAAGCTTCAAGAAAGTTTTTAAAACAAGAATCGCTATTATAAGTATCATAGTTTTTGAGCAATAAATACGCAAACTTGAAAGTTTCTGCAGCCGCGTTTAATTATTGTGCTTTCTAACGAGCAGACATCTCTTCGCGTCCCGCATACGCATAATGCGACCTGTCTATTTCTGACAAATTTGGCGATAACTTGAATCTTGAATCACTTGATAACAAACAGTCTTTGTTTTAACTGCGATTAGTAAGGTATATATTATTTTGGATGTGTGTGTTTGTGTGTGTGTGTGTGTGTGTGTGTGTGTGTGTGTGTGTGTGTGTGTGTGTGTGTGTGTGTGTGTGTGTGTGTGTGTGTGTGTGTGTGTGTGTGTGTGTGTGTGTGTGTGTGTGTGTGTGTGTGTGTGTGTGTGTGTGTGTGTGTGTGTGTGTGTGTGTGTGTGTGTGTGTGTGTGTGTGTGTGTGTGTGTGTGTGTGTGTGTGTGTGTGTGTGTGTGTGTGTGTGTGTGTGTGTGTGTGTGTGTGTGTGTGTGTGTGTGTGTGTGTGTGTGTGTGTGTGTGTGTGTGTGTGTGTGTGTGTGTGTGTGTGTGTGTGTGTGTGTGTGTGTGTGTGTGTGTGTGTGTGTGTGTGTGTGTGTGTGTGTGTGTGTGTGTGTGTGTGTGTGTGTGTGTGTGTGTGTGTGTGTGTGTGTGTGTGTGTGTGTGTGTGTGTGTGTGTGTGTGTGTGTGTGTGTGTGTGTGTGTGTGTGTGTGTGTGTGTGTGTGTGTGTGTGTGTGTGTGTGTGTGTGTGTGTGTGTGTGTGTGTGTGTGTGTGTGTGTGTGTGTGTGTGTGTGTGTGTGTGTGTGTGTGTGTGTGTGTGTGTGTGTGTGTGTGTGTGTGTGTGTGTGTGTGTGTGTGTGTGTGTGTGTGTGTGTGTGTGTGTGTGTGTGTGTGTGTGTGTGTGTGTGTGTGTGTGTGTGTGTGTGTGTGTGTGTGTGTGTGTGTGTGTGTGTGTGTGTGTGTGTGTGTGTGTGTGTGTGTGTGTGTGTGTGTGTGTGTGTGTGTGTGTGTGTGTGTGTGTGTGTGTGTGTGTGTGTGTGTGTGTGTGTGTGTGTGTGTGTGTGTGTGTGTGTGTGTGTGTGTGTGTGTGTGTGTGTGTGTGTGTGTGTGTGTGTGTGTGTGTGTGTGTGTGTGTGTGTGTGTGTGTGTGTGTGTGTGTGTGTGTGTGTGTGTGTGTGTGTGTGTGTGTGTGTGTGTGTGTGTGTGTGTGTGTGTGTGTGTGTGTGTGTGTGTGTGTGTGTGTGTGTGTGTGTGTGTGTGTGTGTGTGTGTGTGTGTGTGTGTGTGTGTGTGTGTGTGTGTGTGTGTGTGTGTGTGTGTGTGTGTGTGTGTGTGTGTGTGTGTGTGTGTGTGTGTGTGTGTGTGTGTGTGTGTGTGTGTGTGTGTGTGTGTGTGTGTGTGTGTGTGTGTGTGTGTGTGTGTGTGTGTGTGTGTGTGTGTGTGTGTGTGTGTGTGTGTGTGTGTGTGTGTGTGTGTGTGTGTGTGTGTGTGTGTGTGTGTGTGTGTGTGTGTGTGTGTGTGTGTGTGTGTGTGTGTGTGTGTGTGTGTGTGTGTGTGTGTGTGTGTGTGTGTGTGTGTGTGTGTGTGTGTGTGTGTGTGTGTGTGTGTGTGTGTGTGTGTGTGTGTGTGTGTGTGTGTGTGTGTGTGTGTGTGTGTGTGTGTGTGTGTGTGTGTGTGTGTGTGTGTGTGTGTGTGTGTGTGTGTGTGTGTGTGTGTGTGTGTGTGTGTGTGTGTGTGTGTGTGTGTGTGTGTGTGTGTGTGTGTGTGTGTGTGTGTGTGTGTGTGTGTGTGTGTGTGTGTGTGTGTGTGTGTGTGTGTGTGTGTGTGTGTGTGTGTGTGTGTGTGTGTGTGTGTGTGTGTGTGTGTGTGTGTGTGTGTGTGTGTGTGTGTGTGTGTGTGTGTGTGTGTGTGTGTGTGTGTGTGTGTGTGTGTGTGTGTGTGTGTGTGTGTGTGTGTGTGTGTGTGTGTGTGTGTGTGTGTGTGTGTGTGTGTGTGTGTGTGTGTGTGTGTGTGTGTGTGTGTGTGTGTGTGTGTGTGTGTGTGTGTGTGTGTGTGTGTGTGTGTGTGTGTGTGTGTGTGTGTGTGTGTGTGTGTGTGTGTGTGTGTGTGTGTGTGTGTGTGTGTGTGTGTGTGTGTGTGTGTGTGTGTGTGTGTGTGTGTGTGTGTGTGTGTGTGTGTGTGTGTGTGTGTGTGTGTGTGTGTGTGTGTGTGTGTGTGTGTGTGTGTGTGTGTGTGTGTGTGTGTGTGTGTGTGTGTGTGTGTGTGTGTGTGTGTGTGTGTGTGTGTGTGTGTGTGTGTGTGTGTGTGTGTGTGTGTGTGTGTGTGTGTGTGTGTGTGTGTGTGTGTGTGGATGTGAGTCTATTGAGATTTTTTTTGTAAACGATAGAGTATTTATTTTGTGGTCATACTTTGCAAGAAAATGACAAACAATTATATGTGCTGCAGAAAAAAGGAAAGACACTTGTCTCAAAAGATTTTGCATCAAAAGGAAGATATTCTAGGAGAATTACAGTAGTCTTTGATACCTATTTACCCAATTCGTTAAAAAATGGGGAACGACAAAGACGTGGTGATTCCAGTACTGATTTAAAGTGGCTGGTTCTAGAAAAGTACCCAAGTTTCGAGAATTTATCAGGTCTTCGGCGAATAAACGATCATTACTAATATTCATTACAAACTATTTTTTGACAGAAGTACCAAATTTACTAAATGACTGTGAAACAGTAATTGTAGCAGGTGGATTTGAAAATCCTCAACTTTCTTTTGAAGTAAATAAAATTACAGGGGCAAAGGAGGTAGAAAGACTAAATAGCAATCAAGAAGAAGCTGACATAAGACTGATACTCCACGTTATAGTAGAGCTAAAAGCAGAGAATACAATTCTGGTAAAATCTGTTGATACCGATGTCCTGATCTTACTCTTACATTTTTACTGTGAAACATCAGATATGTCCCAAAGCAATGTATACATAAAAATAGGACATGGTAAAAATTCACATTTTTGTCTATTAACAATATTGTGGCCAATTTAGGGACACAAATGTGTAAAAAAACTACTGGCAATTCGTTGCTGAACTGGATGCGACACAACAAAAGCGATGTATAAGATAGGCACGAAAACAGCATTTGATGTGTTATACAAAAATATTGATGATTTTAAAGACCTAGAAACTCTTCCTTTTTTATCACAAGATAAAGCATTGGAAGTTATATACTTTATTTGTATAGAAACAAAAACAAAAATATTGCTTCCTTGAATCAATTACGGTGGTACCTGACAACAAACTCAAATCGCACATCTTCTGAGTTGCCTCCTACTGATCATGCTTTTAAACAACATTTAAAAAGGTAATAATAGTTATTTATGCAACAAGTGCAAAAAGTGTTTATTGCACGCGACGTGAAATTGTCCAATGGTCAGGCCGAGTTGGAAAACACGTCGAGTGCAATAAACACTTTTTGCACGTGTTGCATACAATATTTTTTTTACGTTCATGCAAAAACCAAAAAATGTTTTACATAACTGCAGTTGTGTTATCCAAATCATAGTAGCCGTGATCGTGTACCCTTGTTTGAGGCATTTATTTACGTTTGTGTTCATAATTTGTAATGACATTTTTAATAAAATACATTTTTTTATTAATTTATTTATTAAATGATTGAAAATAATATAAAATATGCAATTGTTTTTAAAACATAACACAGAAAATGAAAATGGACTAAATATTTGGCGTTGATTTGAATATTTATGTTCGTCATGATCATAAAACGCTGTAGTAAAATGACAGATGAGTGCAATAAAATTTTTATTGCACTAGTGCAATAAAGAACCAGTTTTTTCACTAAATATAGTTCAATAAAGTTTTGTTTTTTGTATAAACGTAGAAAAATATTTTTCTAAGTCGCCTATGCTTATATAATAAAAAAATACCTACAAATAGCTATAATATGTATCTATTATTGTTTTAGGTGTCTGTATCAATTAAACATTTGGTACAATAGCCACATTCAAAATATGCCACTAGAAGATCCGACTCTATACGGATGGACATTAGAAGAAAATATTTGGAAAGCCAATTTTTCTTCTCAAGAACCAGTGCCCGATAACGTAAGAACAATTTTGCCTATACGATGTTCAGACAAATATTGCAACAATAATAAGTGTACCTGCATTTCACAAGGATTAAAATGCTGCAGTGACTGCAAATATACAAACTGCTGTAACAGCCTAACCTATGAAATTTTATCAGACTGCGAAGATGAAGACTTAAAATATGTTTTTTGTTATTTAGTTTAATTAGTTTTGTATTTTTTTCTTTAATGTTTTTGCGATTTTTTTTTTTTTGTTTGATCAGACGTACCTATTAAATAATGTCAAATAATGGTCAATATAAATATCTTTAATTTAAGTTGCTATAAAAAGAGTTTATTCGTGCGATGAAGATAATTTTAATAATAAAATTTTATATTGTTAATCTTAACTAAAGCAATAACTGAACTATAACTTTTTTTAAATGTTTAGAAACTTTTATTAATTTACAGGTCACAGGTATAATTAAGTCGGCGCCCCCACAATAACGCTAACAGTGGCCCATGGAGGTGCGGAACCTTTTAACTTCAAGCACCTATTACTTGAAAACTATGATACTATGATAATAGTGATTGTTGTTTTATAAACTTTCTTGAAGCTTTGGCTTTATTTGGTACGCAGATAGTTTAGTGAAATTTTGATAAATAAAAAAGTTTCACGGTTACTGAAAATAGTGCTGCAAAAAAGTAAAGATTAAAGTTTTGTCTAGTTTTACAAAAAAAAACTAGGTTTTCTATACTAATGAAACTAACGCAGTAATCTCCGCTTACGTTTCTTCTGCCGATTAAAAAAAAAAGTTGAAAATATCTTGTTTAGTTCCGGAGATATCGTGAGGTATGTGTGAAAAAGTAATAAAACATAATTTTGACAGATTTTTGACAAATTTCGCAATAAAAAAATGTCCCTATTAAAAAATGTTGTAATTGCCGATTTCAGATGGCCAGGGACCTAGACTATTATTTTGTAAAGACCATATGTGGTTGTACCTTAAAGAAAAAATTGAAACCTTTTTGCCCGTTTTTCAGTCCACATATGTAAGAATTGAAGAATGCATTACAAATGGTAATGATAAAAAAATTTCATTGGAATTGATGGTGGTAAATGTCTAACGGATAAACAGCAACGCATGAAATTACTCAATCCAACTCTACCAAGTTCAACATCCTGCACTTTTCCTACTACAAACTGGGCAAATTTTCCATTTTTTCATACACAATTAAAAAAAGGTTAAGTTTATTATTTACTATCAATAATGATATGTAGACTGATATAAAATATTACCTCTTTAAATAAACAATTACTAATCTTTGAAACTGTCACTGGCAATGGATTTGGGTTTTCTATTGTTGGTCCATTTGAATTAATAAAATGTCTTGTACAAATAAGTATTTTTTTTTCAACTGTTAAATCTGCCCTTCGTGATAAATGTATCCACTCCAAACACTTTTTGTTGTCAACTTGTGGTTTTATAAAAGACACAAATTTTACACCATCTTGCTTGTAACGACTTTCAGACGTACAATTAGCAAACGCACAATGTTTTGTAGGCACGACAATTTGTTTTTTAATTTTTTTATCACAATATTTATTTATTCTAATAATAATAAAACGTACGTTTGACGTAGTTGTCAATAGAGAATTCAAAACATATGTACCCCGACCGGTGCTGCCCCTAGCGGATCTTTTTTAAATTTTCCCAGGAAAAAAGCTAATTAAACAATAACGAAATGTGCTTTATATTTTCTTTTCGTTCTTTACTCATGGCATTTCGCCCTCCGCTGTTTCTAGCCCTTTTGTTTTGTATCAAGTTAGTTTTTTTTAGAACCACTTGAACTCGATTGCTGTTAATTTTTAAAGTACTTTAAAATGCTTCTTTACAAATGCTTTGATCTTCTATATTGCAAATTTTAGACTTGTGCAGGATTTGGAAGAGAATAAATATAATTATCTGGAAAATAATCGCCCGTGCATACAATATGGATATAAAATGAAAAACACCTATTATAGTTTGTAACAATAACTTTTTAATGAATTAAAATTTTTAATAGAATATATTTTAATCAATAACGATATCATTATACACATTGAAATGTAAAGCTAAATTAAATAGGATATAGAACATTTAAAAGTCAGAATTATTTTATAAATCCCTTAAAAATGAAATATAATACAAATATATCACTGCATGAACAGACAGACTTAAGAACACAACGGAAATCGACGAGTTTAGATAAAATTAGTATATTTTCTATTTAGATCAAAAGGAACATCCTAAATTTAAGAACTATTGCTTCTGTGATGATTTTAATCATCGTAAATGATAATTCAGTTTTCACTTTAAAGTTAGTAATTTTATGAGCTAAAAATGATTTTTTTGCAAACGACTGTTTTAAAGATTACATGCATTTAAAGATTTTTTAGGAAATTTCCATCTGCATTTTCTATTCCAAACGCTCCCAATAAAATAGAATTTCCCGATTTCAAAGTAACTCCTACTTCCAAAATGTTGCTCAATGGCGTGGAAAAAATGTATACACTAAAACAAAAAATAAAACTAAATGTTCTTTGTCTAAATATAAGCTTTTTACTTAACTATATTTTACTTTCAAATACCATATTCCTACCAAAGTTCAATAAAAAATTGAATTACCTAAGATTCCATCTTTCATCCACAATTTTCTCATAATATCTATCTCTGATGTTCCTAATGATATCTGGAGAAATTGACTGGTTAACTTCTGTAACTGTTTTGTTCTCCAACGGTACTTCTTTTTCTTGTCCTAACAGAACAATCTTTCTCAGGCTACCATTGTACGAACTGACCAAGAGTGACACATCAATTACAGATAAGACATCATCCACGCTCTTGGTAAGGAAAAATACTACAGTGTTGTCATATATCTCGATGTCAGTAACAAATAAGTTGTGTATGTAACTTACGTCCTTCCTTAAATTTGTTCTAGTAAGTAAACAAGTGTTTTTATTACCTAAAATAAGTATTTATAGATATAGGTTAAGAGATGGTAACCAAAAGGAAAATCATTTCAGTAAGCGCGAAAATTAGTATACAAATTCCTTGTACATATAATAGAATCATTCAACAGAAATAGAAATATGTATTTATTTGCAATTTTTGGAGATGTGAAATATAATCCCTAATTTACCCCTACGATATCAAGAAATCATGACATCCTCAAAATTAAAACAAACCATAGAAAAATAATTTGAAAAATCTGAGAAATAAAGAAATGAAAAACGAGTGCATCGGTCAGCGATCGAAGCTGGAACGAGCTGAGCCCTCGGCGCCTCTACCAATTGGACTACCGAAGCACACAGCTACGACAGTCGAATTTGTAGATTTGAAGTCATCGGATTTCAAAACTCGGCGGCACAACTTAATAATGAATGTGTACACAGGGCTAACTCTGTGTCATGAGGAAAATAACTATCGCATAGATGCTACCCGAATCATACTTTGTGTGACATGCCGACGTCCCTTTTTGTCGCATTGTTTCAACATTTCATGTCAAAGCGATCGATTCCAAGAGACAACTTTCGATGTGTGGTATTAGAGAGAGAAGAAAATCGATTTGCATTTGAGTCGTTCGAAAGAGAAAAATGAAACAAAAATATATTATTTTAACCTTAACCTTACTTTTTATTTTATATTATAGAAAAGCTTCAGTTAGTTAACTAGAACCATCATATATTTTATAGATTGTCTTTGGTTGTTTGTATCGGTTTTGAGCATCGAGATAGAATGAAGTAGAGACGACATATACACTATTTGGCGATATGACACATGGACGCACTTCAAGTGACGGAAACGAATATTAAAATGGCCACTTGAGTCGTACTTTGATTTATTTGAAGTCAATAATTTTATATTTGAAGACTGACTAAACGAAAATGATTTTTTCTAATTTTGACACATAAAGTGACATCTTTTGTAATCGCAGCAAGTGTCAAAACGATCTACTTTATGCAAGCAGTTGCATAAAGTAGAATATTATGCAACTGATTACGAACAGATGATTATGTCACCAGTTATGAAATGAAAATAAATAAAAATGCCTTTTTTGGTTTTTAAATCAAAATTTATATTGCTCTTGAAAAAGGTTAGATCGAAGAATGAAAGGTTGGCAATATATAAAAATATATTTTGTCAGGAAACTTACGATTTGTACTGGTTCCGTCGCTAATTTAAACAGTCTTGATCCATTCTAAATTTGGTCAAAATCATCAAAACACTGTGTTACACGACACTGGCATGACTTTATAGAGAGAAAACTAAAAATATTACTATTCATTTACTTATGCAAAATAACAGACTTTCTTGAAAACCAGTTTAAAAAGAAAATGAAAACTTTGTTCTAATGATATTTCAAAATTAAAAGTACCTATCAGATTAATATGAAGTTAGGAATAGTCATGTTAGACAATTTGACATTTATCTACAATAACTAGGTATTTATTTTCATAAAAAATTCCCTAAATACAGGATAATAACATGACTTTATTAGAGAGTTAAAATAGAGAGTTATTGCAAGTTCACTTAAAGTCAATCACTATTAGTGCCGCTCTTATTTTGACATCTGAGCATGCCCAGATCACATCTAAACCTTCTAAAATGGTAATTTCTAATACCTCTTCCATATTATGTACTATTATAAACAACAACAAAAATGAACTGTAATTTAAAATTTTTAAAATGAGGTTAAAAATATGTATAATGACAACTACTCTAATGTCAAAATTTCTGGTTTGCAATAAGTCTTATTTTAGCATGGGATTTATTCATCTCTAATTAGGTTGTCACTATTAGTGGCTGATATAAAAATTTGCAATATCTCTCTATTGTAAAGAAAAACGAAAAAAATTCTTCTGATATGTAATTTAACGTTTGGCTAGCCCGACAACACAAGCGATTACAGGTAGGTATGCAACTAACAATGCATGGAATAGGGATGGACGATATTTTATGTAACAGTGATTTTGTCAGATATACTTTACAGTAGTAATTCATGACATTGCATGAAATCGTGACAGGACAAAATGTTATGCTGGGAAAAATCTAGTTAAATTATAAAGGGAATTCATCCCCTTATTCCCTTATGAAAATAGATGAAGCTATTCGAGGCATAAGAGAAAAACGAAAACCGTTTCGCAAGTTACAAATGTCACTTGTTATTTCAAACTGTCAACAATTGCTCCAAGTTAGAAGAATATACAGTGTGTGCGATAAAGTTGGATCCATATGGGATTTTTTTTAATAGTACGATTGAAAAAAAACGTCGTAGGACAATCAAATACAACAATTTTCTGAAATATTTGATTGAAAGTACCTACCTACAAAAGAATGATGGTGAATAATTTTTTAACCAAACACAATTTTTATAAATAATCAAGTCAAAATTAGAAAAAATCTTGTATGTAACACGGTACGAGATGCCATTTTGTTACTTGTTCATTTTATTTACTCGTTACACAAAATAAAGCATTTCGTAACTGGGTAAGGGGTAACATTATTTTCAAAACACACGATCATTATAAACTACACGGATAATGTCGATAATGTAGTAGAAATAAGGTAATGTTACTCAAAACGCACTGTTTGAGATTTCACAATACATCTAAACAACCACTGCCAAAATACGAAAATTAAAAATGTCTACAGTGGTGCAATCGGCACCATTTTATCAATAAAACAATTCGTCGATTGTGGTAACTCAGCAAAGATTAAGTTGAATAAACCGATTCGACCCGATTTAAGCGCGTTAGATTTTTTCTGTGGAGATGTTTGAAGAATCGTGTTTACGTGAATCGACCATAAACTGGAAGTTTTCAATGCCAACATAAGGCAAGAAATTGCTAACACAGGTCGACATATTAACGAGAACCATGGAAAATGCGCTGGAGATAGCATCGTTATTAGAGATGGTCATTTGGTTCACATCATCTTCGATGATAGATAAAACATAATATCGAAGATTCCAATAGATTGTCACAATTATTCCAATTATAAATCAGGGCATGATTTTTGCGTCACCTTGTAGAATAAATTCTAAATCGTTTGCCAGTGTTAAGTTTTCGTGTACGAACCGCCGAGAGAACTGCGGGAGGGGGTAGGAGAATGTATGTTTGTCGGCGAGAGTCCTGAGTCTGATTGACTTAAAATCAATAAATTCGACTGTCGTAGCCATGTGCTTCAGTAGTGAATTGGTAGAAGCACCAAGGGCTCAACTCGGAGGTTCCAGGTTCGATCCCTGGCCGATGCACTCATTTTTATTTTCTTTATTTCTCAGCTTTTCCAATTGATCTTTGGTTTGTTCTCACTCTGGGGACATAGGGATGCATAGTTTGATTTCGTAGTAGGAATTGGAGATTATATTTACATTTTCAAAAATTACATATTTCTAATTTTGTCACCTTTCTTTATGTGAAATCTTAAAAATATCTGATCTACTTTTGTCTGCCTTCCTTACATTAAAGGTTAGTGGGTGTTATCAGTGTTAATTCCTTGTACAGTCATATATACAGTACAAATTCTTTTTAAATCGGGGGTGGCTATGAACGTCAAACATCACTCATTCTGTATAGTAATACTGACACTATAAAATTTCTTTTTTGCAAACGCCTCCCAAAAATATAACGTAGTCACGTCATTTTCTATTTTTTATATTTTAAAACATCGGTGAATCTCATACATACGAGTCTCATTAAAAATGGGACACATAACTGAAGATTCTCTGATTAAAAATAAGACGATTAAGGAGGTCCTTTCGCCACACCTCTCGCCTCAAATGTTAAAAAAAAAGTTATTAGATTATGACTAAAATTAATTTTTTTCTAATAGTTGAAGTCCTTATTTATCTAATACTGAACTTTTAACTATACCTTACCTTGCAAATTTTTGAGAATTTTTTTTTAAATTTGAGTATTTGTACAGTGCCTCACGAGAAAGTGAGTCCTCAACAACAATTCTCGAATTATACTATTATTTATTGATTAGATGGAGTAGAAAAAAACTAAAAATAAGGTTTTTGAAATATTTAGATTTTGTTTTATACAATAAAATATATATAGTAAACCGTGGAACTTATTGAGAAATTAATATTAAAAAAATCACAAAAATTTTTCAAGTAACCTAGTTGAAAATTTTTTGTGATTTTTTAATAATAATTTCTCAATAAATTCCACGGTAACCTATATATTTTATTGTAAAAAACAAAACCTAAATATTTCAAAAACCTTATTTTTAGTTTTTTTCTACTTCATCTAATCAATAAATAATAGTAAAATTAATTATAATTCGAAAATTGTTGTTGAAGTCTTACTTTCTCATAAGACACTGTACAAACACACACATTTTTAAAAAAAATTTCTCTCAAAAATTTGCACGGTAAGGTATAGTTAAAAGTTCACTATTAGATAAATAAGGACATCTACTATTAGAAAAAAATTAATTTTAGTCATAATCTAATATTTTTTATTTAACATTGGTGGCGAAAGGACCTCCTTAAACGAAACTTGCTTAGATAAAATATTACTGGTTTCCGAAATACAGGGTGTTAAAGTTGAAAATTAAAAAATTATTAATGGCTTTAAATTTTTAATTTTTCTGTATAATTTAACTAACTTCAGTAAACAATTTTGGTGTCATAAGATACACCTATCAGCAAAACAATCAGTTAAATAAACTTTGTCAGTGGCCCTCAGAGAAAAAGTAATACCTTCATCCCCTCTAAATTTTACCCCACTGTCCAAAAACCTATTTAGATTATATTTTTAAATTTTTTGAAATTTTTTTTAAACAAATCATATACTATTTTTTGGGAATTTTCGAGATATTCACACTCAAATGTGGATATTTATTCTTCATTTTAATTTATTTTTTTAATTTTGGGTTTTTTTATAAACTCCCAACAAGAGTACTTACCAGGGGCGTTCGGTCCATGGAAGCGGGGAAAGCACCGCTTCCATACAC